GGCACTGTTGCAATGCCAGGATGGAAGCAAAAGAGGATCCAAGGAGGACACTTCAACAGCAGATTAGGAAAAGGGCACAGAGATTCTCATGACTGGATTCATCAGCCAGACCTGCAGTTACACTTTTGTATTTGATTTTCCTTTCAGATTTTGACTGCAGTCCTTCTAGGACTCGTCCTGACTCCAGCCTTTGGTGAATATGTGAGTACAGTGACCATTTCCCACATTCACAGCTGCTGTTTCCATATCCCCTGCTTTGGGAGATCTCCCTGATCCTTTCACCACTCCTTGGCCGGATAGAAATTGAAATCTACTCTCAGACATGAAACTCTAAGGGCACCACACGCCAGCTGTAAGATGCAGCAATGATTCACTGAAGGCAGGAAAAGGATTCTTATGGCTACGGCCCAACGCCACAGCCTTGATCCTTTGTCCTTGGGAAGATCCTGAGGGCGCTGCTGGCACTCCCTGCAGGCAACACCTTTTCTACCAGGGGATTGAGGAGTTCACTGATTCCCTTCATAATCTAAACATGCTCCATTACTTGGTGTTTTAGTCTCAGCAGAGTGATAACAACTGCCAGATCTCTGTTGGTGGAGTCTTTCAAAATATGACCATCAGTAGTCAAACCCGTGTGGCAGTTTTTGAGCAAAGAAGCAACGATTTGTCATGGAAAACCATCTGGAACTACAACACGGTGAGTGGCAGGGAGCGGGCTTGTCCGGGCACTGTGACAGGAGGCTGCCTCCTGCTCCAGCTGAACAAGGCACGGGGCTTCTTGCTTTCTTCTCAACCTTTCCAGTCCAGGATTTGGGGGAGGAACTATTGGTATTCCTTGCTGGTTTCAATCCACACTTTCTCCCAGGTTTTCCAAGTGAGAAAAGTGATTCACCAGTGCTCAATACCTTTCTCTTTACAGGGCATCATTGCAACCAAAGTGATGCAACAGAACACCTGCTACATTTCCATCATGAACAAAAACAAGATGCCCACGTTTGACGCTCTCTTCAGACTGGCCAGTGAGAGCAGGGTAAGATTAAAAGCAGAAGTTGCCTTGGTTGTTGTGGAGTGATTGATATTCATTTTTTGTCTGAGAAATTGGTATTTTCAAAAACTTGTAATTGATTTGGTTAATTTAAAACCCATTTATTTAACTTCGGGGATATTTTTAGTTACATCATTTGAAAGCTTTCAAAAAATACAATATCCATGTTCAAATGCCTGTAGCACTGTTTATTCTAAGTTGCCAATTACTTAGATTACTTTTATAATGTTTATTTAATTTGAAACACTTTAATACTATCTTATGATCAGAGAGTTTAGATATTTGGTTAGAATAATTTACTTTTCAGAATCTCTCATTCACCCAGAGTAAAAACTATATTTTTACAGTAAAGTCAAAATCAGGAATGAAAAACTTTACTCTATGAAGAAAAAGAGGTTAAATAAGCTTTCAATCTTTTTCAAAAGAACCTTACACCATAATATCAAGAGTTCAACCAACAAAACTGGCATTTTAAAACTTATCTCAAAATTCAGCAAACTTACTGTGAGTACAAGCAAGCTTACCTTAAAGACTTGGACGTGAACCCAAAGGCAGCTGCCACTCACACCCCAAGCACCCGCTCGTCACTACACACCTCGCCATGTGCACGCCATGAAATGTATCCTGGCACTGATCTTGCTGAATGCTGTTGTTTGATCTCTAGAACCAGACTGGTCTTGGAAGACCTGCAAAGAAGATCACCTTTGTCACCAGTGGATTGGTCAACAACCTCAACTCCTACGGAGCAGACATCATGGCCATGTGCAGCGAACTCACCACCTACATGACCTATGAAGTTCACGGTGAGTGCAAGCAAAGGAATTCTCTCTCCCATTGGCCTGCCACTTTCTTTCCCTTGGCCAATGACTACTGCACCTGTGCTCTTCTGCCAACTCAAGACGGACAGAAAACAAGAGCTTCAGCTTAGGCAGAAAGGCTTTGGCATCTCTGCAGCTCACGACTGGACCGGCCTTGAGTGCCAGCCTCCAGAACTGAGCCGCTCCAAACCCTTCCACCTCCCTTCCGGGAGGCTGAAGGGGGTTTAAGTTTGGGCCCCGAATTTTGGCCCACCTTGACCTCCTTGGCAATGCCCTCGCAAAGACAAAGGCTCGGCCTAAGAACCCCTGTCCTTCCCTTCCCACCTTGCTCACCACTTCACCCAGGAAGCCACCAAAGCCTTTTGAGCTTCACAACACCAAGCCAAGTGCCTTCGTTCCCTGGGCCTTCTTACCCAGGCCAAGGATGGCATTGCCCTCCACTTTAAGGACCTGCACTGGGCACGCTGCTCGCAGAAGCTCCCAGCCCCACAGGGCCCAGGAACTGGCACCAGCCTCAGCCTGGAGTGCCCAGCCCCCTGCCCTCCCAGCAGCCAGTGGAACAGTGCCCCAAGTGCTGCACGCCAACACCCCCAGCGTGCTTAAGAGCCCCTCTCTGGGGCCATTCCTTGCTGAGACACACAGCCGCTGCTCTTTGGCCACTCCAAAGGAATCTTGCCCTCCCACATCTCCAACACTGCTCACGCACCCAAAGACTCAGAACCTCACTCACTCGCTCCCACCAACAACCACCCCCTCCTGGGCAGCGGCACCCAAGGGCGCAGGCCTCACCTCATGGCCTTTGGCTTTCTCTTTGCTTGCTTTTCCAGGACCCCAACTCAATCTGGGACCATGCGTCACCCTCAATGTCCTGAATGTTGTGCAGCTCAACTACTGCAATGGCAATGGCAATGGCCAGATTGACCAGGTGGGAAACCCTTACTCTTCTCCAACCTAGCGCCAGGGCTGCCCAACCCCCATGCCCTTCTTCCCCGCCATCTCCTCTTGGGAGAGCTTCCTTCTCCAGCATGGAGATGCTGAAACACAGCAGGGCTTGATCCTTTGTCCTTGAGGAGATCCTGAGGGCGCTGCTGGCACTCCAGGCGGGCAGCACTTCTTCTCTTCTCCCAGGGATCTGGGCAGGTCACCCACTTCCTTCAAAGCCTAAAGGCTTCCTTCTTTCTCTTGCCGTTTTAGCCTCCCCAGG